AAATGTGTTTTTTTGAAAAATACGACATACTTCGATTTTTTAGTATTTTCCGACCTGAAAAAGATATTTGTGTAAGGTAAAAAGTTGTTTTTCATGATCAGCAACTCTCACTCTATCAAATGATGTAAAAAAAACGGCAAAAAAATTTTTACTTGAATTTCGCATTGCCGGCACCTTACTTTTTAAGAAAATCTAATTTCGTCATATTTGAAGGCAATGTACTAGCAGTTATCAGTACAGTATCTACTAATAAACTACGAAAATTTTGAGATATAATCTGTAAAGATTCATTACTTGCATGGATGTTATTTATTTGAGTCATCATATGGTACTCTACCCGAAAAAGCGCCAATAATCTCAGGCCTTAGAACTTACGAAGGAAAGTTCCCAACTGGCGAATCGATTTCAGCGCCATTTTTTGGCTACATGGTTATCTCAATGAGACTAGAAAAAACTAAAAGAATATTTCGTGCCCTCTGTTGCTCCTTGCCGAGTGATTTTTTACTCTCTGCATAACAAAAACTAATGTTTTACCGATTTTTCCTTTTTCATCCTTTGTAATGCGTTGAGCAACCAAAATGTTTCCACAAACAGACCCGAGTACGAGGACCAAAGTTTTAGTCCTATCGACTCTAAAGATCAGGAGTTATTAAATTTTCCATTAGTATATTGATATGAGGTTCAGGATGGACAATACCTATGATTAGACGCGTTTTTAACGTTACGAAACTGGAAGGCAACCGATGTTGGGCCTGGAGGAAAAGATCACCGTCTCGGCTGAGCCAAAGATTTCCACGCAATTTCTTAGATCCCATTTTGAAGACGCACTTTCTTCTACCTGCTGATGTAAAAAACCAATAGTTTAGTATTTTAACTTTTCTCATTATGCATGCATGCTGGAAAACTTCCACATATCCCCTCATAAGCCGGCTTTGAGAAAATCAATCGAAGGTGTGTTTTCTCGAAATAAAAGATCAGTAGTAAAATTGACTCTATTAGAGTCAATTTTTCACACCAGTTCTTCTTTAAAAGAAGAACTGGTGTGTTCTCACACTCAACTGAGATCGGACCGAGATCGAACAAGACTCGCTGACGTCTTGTCACTTCTCATTCTATCCTAAACGTCTGCAGTCAGTCTACTTCACGCGTTCGACTCAATTTCATCCATTAGACAATTGTCCGCTGGTTTTAGAATATGGAAATGCTATGATTTCAAACAAAGTCGCGTATTTGGGACTAGTATTAACTCCCAAATTAGACTGGACATGCCACCTAGATTACGTCTTTATTAAGTGTTCCAGAATTATAGGTACTATGAAATTGCTGAGTCATGTAATATCTCGAAAACCTTATGCTTAGTCTACAATGCCTTTGTTTTCTCCATACTTAATTATATGAGTGTCATCTATTCTGGTACCACACAAACTAATTTGAGACGTATAGCCTTGGCAATTGCTGGTGGAATGAGACTGTCTTCAAACACAAAAGTATTAGCTGATCTTGGTTGAATTCCGATGGAAGAAACGTTCTTTATTCAGCGACTTCGCTTATTTCATAAAATTAAGTTTGGCAAAGCATCATCTCCACTTCAGTGTCTCATTCCAACTGATACTACATCACATAACTATTCACTAAGAAGTAGAAGCACAGCTGCTCAACAAATTACAGTTCAGCGTCGTGTATTCAATGGACAAGGAACTCATATGAAGTCGAAATAGATTTGGCTGGAGTTTTTTGCAGACGAGTTGAAGAAAAATCTTTTTTGCAAGTTACTTATTAGCATAAGGACATGACTAATTCGAAAATATCTCTTCTCAGGTCTTTTCCGTTACCGAGATAAGAGACATTATTTCCTAAAAATTGACTCTTATTTATTGCTTCAAAGGCAAGATCTTTTGGCGAAATTGATTATTTAGGCAGCTGTAACTTTGTACTTAGATTCTCTCGCAGTTATAATTTTATAAAAACGCCTTCCGTGGGTGGAGAGAGCGCGCAAATTTTCCAAATTTTGGACTTTTTCCACTTTTAACCATGTCGGACTTCTGCTTTTTTCACGATTTCTACCAATGAAAAGTAAGCTCGCATCTGGCAACATGTCTCTATACTGTACTCGAGCTACTTATGGTTATTTTATTCATAAAGGTATGATTATATGTGGCCGGTAGAAAAGGTAGTTATTTTACGGATAATGCCTCCTATCTCGGTAACGGGAAAGACCTGAGCAGAGATATTTTCGAATCAATCATGTCCTCAAACTTTTCCAAATTAAATTAATTTTGTAATTAATGGTTTCAATTGAGAAACTTTGTTTATATATCAAAAGATGCAGAAATTAATTCTGTATAAGATAACAAGGCTAAAATCTTGTATTCATAACGTTTTACTGCTTTTATAAGCAAAAATAAAAATCTGTAAAAAATAGATTCAGAAGTTAGATTTTTTTAGATTTATCATCTTCTTGCAAACAGAAATTTTCGTAGAAGATTTAACTGCAGAATTTCGAAGAATGTGTGAGAAGATACAGAATTTTTCGGTGAATCTTCTGATGTTTTCAAAATTCTTATGGAATCTATTCTGGGATCAAGGCAAATATTTTTCTATTTCCAGTGTGTCGCAGTTAGAGAATTTAGCACTATTCAGTATTTTGAGTGGTGCTCAAACGAAAAAAATGCTATCAGAGATTCAAAAAGCAGCTTCTGTAGAGAATTCAATTCTCTATCGAATGAGACTAGAACCAGATTTTTAGATCATTCGAAAGTGGCTTAAACATAAAGAACAAAAGTGTCCCGTTTATTATGCGCCACCCGTTAAAGTTTATACCAAGTCGCGTATCTCTAACCTGGAAAACCACAAATGGAAACAGCCGACATAAAGAAAGGTAAACCTATATTATACGACTGTTAAAGATTTTTTTGTGCGAAAACCACTGCTTCTTTCGCATCATTTGAAACAAGACAGAATCGACTGTAGCTTACGCAAAAGGAAGCTAAAAAGTCAGCCAAAAAGAATTAACGCGCTCTAGTCGTCAAACAATTTTGTCTACAATTATAATGCTATAAGCCAAAGATATAACGATTCTTAAATTTCAATGTACCTTCAATTGCTGTTCTTCCTTCATTCAATACCTTATTTTTACCGATATAAAGCTCAGTCAATGTTTTGTTGGTCTTCAATGCATCAGCGATGGATGTTGCGCCTTCATTTGATATATTATTATTCGAAATATTAAGACTAGTCAATGTTTTGTAGATCTTCAATGCATCAGCGATGGATGCTGCGCCTTCATTTGATATATTATTTTCACCGATATAAAGCTCAGTCAATGTTTTGTTGATCTTCAGTGCGTCAGCGATGGATGTTGCGCCTTCATTCGATATATTATTATTCCAAATATCCAGCCGACTCAGTGTTTCGTTGATCTTCAGTGCATCAGCGATGGATGTTGCGCCTTCGTTCGATATATTATTATTCGAAATATACAGCCGACTCAGTGTTCTGTTGATCTTCAATGCATTAGCGACTGCGCGTGCACCTTCTGCTGATAAATCTTTATCATGTAAATTGGAGTAGCATTCATTGTCGAGGTCACTGATAACAGTTAAATAAATACACTGTTTATTGTGTTCCATGTTGGATTGAACTTCGATAATTTTAAACTCTGCTCCAGCAGGAAGAAGGACTTCCTCTTCATCTGGATAACATGAATATGGTGAAATATCAAAGCCACCTCTCTTAGTCTTTGTCAGATCAATAATAAATAAGGTATTTCCAAATTGTTCTGCTTTATGACGATTTTTACTTGTTGAAGAAAACCCATACCAACACTTGTATGTGCCAGTGGCTTCTCTATAAGATTCAATCATTTCCGGATCAAGATTGGCACCACGATAGACTTCCAGTTTATGTTGGTTCTCCGAATCGTTTGACCACGAATCAAATAAAAAGTAGCAGAATGGACCAAGCGTGTCCACTTTGGTTTTATCATTTTCTCTCAACATTGTATTAACTAATTTGTATAGAAAACATTCTTTAGTATATAGATTAATGCAACACTTGCGAATTTCTTTTGCGGTCTTATTTTTTACAATTCTCAATTGCTGGGCAATCCATTGTGATTCACACTTTTCGCCTAGTCGATTTCCTTCGAAGATGATTCCGTTGGCTGCTTGTTCTACTTTGTCACTATTAGAAACGTTCTTGTTTTTTTCTTTAAAAAACAACAAAAATTTTTTCTTTTTCTTTTCCCATTCTTTAATAAAGCCATGATAGCCACCGTCCAAACGATCCTCATTGAACGGTTTCTTCAATGGTTGTGGAAGAAAGAATCTCTCTTCTCGCAAGTATGTATTTTCATTTCTATTAATTAACATTCGTTTTATTTGTCTGCGTTTATTTTGATCGTGTTTACTGATTTGAATCGAGTCATTTAAGTCGATCCAATAATTATCTAATTCAACTAAATTTGTGTTCGTATTTCGGTTAAATGCTGCTTCAATAATGTCGGATTGAATATCCGAATATCTTCTCCATTCTTCCTTTTCATTGGTCAGTCAGGGATTCGAGTTCGATTTCCAGTACCATTGGGCTTGTGGGTGATCATTTCCTTTCATTAGTTGATTCGCCATTGATTAGACCAGTCCGAAGTGATTCTTATTAGAAATGTCTGTTAAAGTAAAAAAACCTATTAAACAAAAAGCAAGAACGTTGCTGGACTGAAGGAACAGAACATTCAGGCTTGTGATGATCATTCTCAAAAATTTCCAAGAAAATTGTGCGGTTTGGAAAGGCACGGTTTTCCTTCAGAAAAAATCAAGCAGATAGTTTGTTACGTTTTTGTTTCTGTTCAATAGAGTTTAAGCTAAACTAGATGGATGTTCTATCTGGCTGGAAAGGAAGTTCTCGTTAGCAGCAGCAATAGCAGCATTTCCAGCAGCAAAATACTGGCGGCCCCTAGTCAACATCAACTACGACTTGAAACTTTCTCGGCGTATGCCACGCATATTTTATCAAATTAAACTCTGTGCATAGATTTCATATTTTAAGTCTTCCTCCTCTGAACAAAGTTGATTTTTGCCAGAACTCAACACACATGGTTGTGGAGAGGCCTGAGTATCTGCTTTCAGAATATATAAGATTTCACACTATGTCGATAGTTTTTGAGGGCCGGTTGAATTATTTCGTCCTCTCTCAAAAACCATAATGGTGAGATCAGCATCAAGAAAGTACTATTGTGCCTTCAGAAACAAAGTAAATACTTTTTTTGTTTGAAAGATGACACAAAGGGCTACTGTTGTACAATCGGTTTGTTTCAAAAATAAGTTTTATTAGCGCAAAAGAAATGAAACGTTTTTTCATTACCAAAATTGTAAGGTTTTCCAATATATTTTCGTGGTTTTGCAGACAGTTTTGACTAGATGCATGTCTCAGAAGATCAAGAAGGTAGAAAATGCAAAACGGCGCTCGTACGTCATTAGCTCTAAGTGTCCTCTTTCAAACAAAAACCATTGTTGACTTTGTCTCTTAAGAGGCCGGCCCTCCATGAATATATCAAAGATACCTCCTATCTCCTCAATTTCAAAATTCGTTTTTGATCACAGATTCTGAAAGAGCGTATACGATTTCATCAGAAAACTATTAAAAATTCTGTTTGAAAGCCCTTTGTTACAGAATACCGGACGTCTGAACTTTGGAACCCATTAAAAGTGATCATTTTCGTACTTTTCAGTATTATCGCTGTAATTTTGTAGAGGCGGTTGACACTTTGTTTGATAGAGGATCAAATAGAGATTTAGTGCTGAAAGGCGAGGATCATTCCGATTTAATCTCGCTTTTCTAGGCCGAAACTTCGAAAAAATGCATACACCTATTTGCATACAACTAGTTTTTCGGGTTAAGTAATATCCTAGTTTTGTGTCTGCGTTGAGATTTGTTCCCCAAAAGTTCTTTGATTGATGACGCGTTGAATGAGATATCATTCGACCAAAAAAAAGTTTAAGAAAACTTTCTAGTGGATCAACAACGTATGCCATCCCTAAGGCACAAAATGACTTATGTTCGAAATAATGCTTTTTTCTCCCTCTATATATTTTATTTCTTGAGGAAAACAATATATTCGTGTTCAGCGAATGAAACTGAGTAACTTTACAAGTTTACCGAGCACTTCCATCCTCATTCTAGAACCCACATACCATCATCATTCTTCAGAACCGTGTGAAAACGATTTTGACCTTAGATATGACTTAAAAAGTGTGTAAACCACTCTACTTTATATATCATTCGATAGAGAATTTTACGGGCTACAAAATGATATATAAGACAGACATAAGAAAATGTAACTGGATAGTTTAAGATTTGAAATACTCGGCAGCATCTCAGCAAACCGGTGGGTCAACCTCATTCATATTTGTACCATCCATTTATTTTCTCGTTAATCACTCTACTTTATATGTTATTCGATAGAGAATTTTTCGGACTACACAATCGTATATAATGTTTTGGGAATAATATATGAGTAGATATTCTAACATTAGAAATACTGTTCAACTCATGAACAGATGCATAGATCAATATGGTTCAGGCGCATGAATTCTCCGAAGACACCCAGATTCGGTGATCTTTAGGTCTGGAACCTTCAAAACAGATGGAAACATAGGATATCGATCACGCTGAATCTCGTGACAATATTAGTTTTCGAAATAAGAGTCTGAAACCTATATTAGATGAAGTAACCCATTATTGCCTAATTCCGCATAAAATTAAAAAATTAATAAGTCAGTCACAACAGATGGAAACCACGTCAGAATATCACAGTATACTCTAATTTATCTGCATCATATGATGCAGTTCAATAAATATTTTAGAAACCACATAATATACTTTGGCTTTTGAAATGGTTTTTAGAATTCTTCTAAAGTAAGAGGCTACATTTAATTGACCTGAAGTAAAGGTTGAGATTCGGCAAACAGAATAGACCACACTATGATATTCTGACCTGGTTTCCATCTGTTGTGACTGACTTATTAATTTTTTAATTTTATGTGGAATTAGGCAATAATGGGTTACTTCATCTAATATAGGTTTCAGACTCTTATTTCGAAAACTAATATTGTCACGAGTATTTCAAATCTTAAACTATCCAGTTAC